AAGCTAACTTGCTACCCATACCACTCCCCTGCCATTAAATCCTATTCATCTTTCAAGATTTAGCTCTAAAGTCGCTCACTTTGTTTACACCTCAGGAAAGCCCTTAACCCCTGTCTTAATTGTTTTTTCACCTGGAACGTTGTAACTTCTTTAAGGGCAAGGTCTGGATCATAGAGCTCCCTTTGTTTTAGGCACAAGAAATTAACAAATATCTGTGCTAGGAACTGGGGATACCATACCTTCAAGGGCCTGAGGTCTGGTGATGGTGGGGTTGAAGTACAAAAGAGGCACTTTAAATCTGACAGCTAGGAGTTTGTACTTAAATGTCATCTCCGTGGAACCTTCCCTAATTATGTTTAAACTTGCAACCCTTCCCTGAACATCCCATGTGCCCCTTCCTTACCTTATTACTATAATGTATCGTAGTGTGTATTTCATCCATTTTTCTTTCTTATTGTCTGTTCCTCTCCCCTCTCCATAATGTAAGTTCCACGTGGTTAGGGTTTTCTGTTTGTTTTATTCACCAGTGAACCACAGCATCCATAAGGGGGCCTGGCACATAGGTGCTTACTAATATTGTTAAATGAATTAATGCATGACATTACTGTTCTAGGAATCAGCACTTTTTTTTTGTGGTCTCCCGGAACTGAAATCGAGGGAACCCTGGCCGTCACCCTACGGCTGTAAGGTTGCCCTGGGCCAGTTCTCACTGTTTTCCTTCTGAGTTTTGCTTTGAGATTGCATTCCTGATAACAACTTTGACCTAGTTGGAAGTACTTCCTCTCTCTTTTTTAAGGCATGAGTCTCTGAATGGAAACTTCAGAAGTTTAAAGTGGAAATGTAAAGATACTGTGCTTCAGGTGGATAGGGAGGGAGGCTGCACTGAGAGGATGGGGTGTGGATTGTCAGATGTCTTGAGGCATTGTAGGCATTTGGTGAGCTCAGTAGAAGCTGGAGAAAGTTACTGTGCAATAGGGAAGTGAACAGCCGAAAATAATAAAAGATGCCACAAATTAAGCATCTGGTCTCAAGTCACCTTTAGCCTTTTAGGCCTGAGGTAGTTACTGGATTATGAATTTATGGAAAAGCCATTGCTGAGCATTGTATAGTACTTGACTAGTTTTTTAAAATTGATTTTTAAAGAGGGAAGGAGGAAAGACACACACACACACACACACACACACACACACACACACACAGAGAGAGAGAGAGAGAGAGAGAGAGAGAGATATGCCCTGACCAGGGATGTAACCTGCAACCTAGGTATGTGCCCTGATCGGGAAATCACACCCGTGACCTTCTGGTGCACAGGACAATGCTCCAACTAACTGAGCCACACTGGCCAGGGCAGTACTTGACTAATTTTATGTTAGGATTATACTGTGAGGAAACCATAGGAAACATAAAAGAAAAAAAGTACTGTTCTGTTTAAATGTGCTTTGAAATATTCAGAAAAAAGGGGCTAGAATCCCTTAAAAGACAAGCTTGCAAGGAATTGGGCCCTTGATATGGTGGTAAATATGTGATTCTTCACCATTTGATGTATGTTAACTTATTTGATACTCAAATTTGTACAGAAAACTTCTGCTTGGCCCCCCTATTCTACTAAATTTAGCTCCCCAACATTTGAACATTGGAGTGACACAGGACTCAGTTCCTGGACTTTTCACCATCCAAAATCTTCCTAGAAGCATTCATCCAGCCCTATGGCTTTAAATACCATGTATATATACACTCATCACTCAGAAATGTATGTCTCTCACCTAAGCCTTTCTTTGAAGCTACAGCCTCATGTATCCAATGGCCTTTTCGACGTCTCAAATGTAACATGGCCAAAACAGTACTCCTGATACCTCTCACATCCCCAGCCCCTTCCCTCAACTTCCCCTATCTCAGTAAAATGGCACCAGCATCCATTCAGTTTCTCAAACTAAGAATCTGGGGTTACCCTTCATTCCTGTCTTTCTCTCAACCTCCCAACATCCAATTCATCAGCAAGTCCTGTTGACTGAACTTCTAAGTGTGTCATATATTCTGTCATATGTATCCATCTAATTTGTCTATCACTCTAGTCTGAGCCATCACAATGCTAAAATAAATATCTTTGCACAATGCTCAAGGAGGGATATAGATATAAGATGCACACATGTACAAATATTTATGTAGGATAACTTTCTATTAGGAGAATTGTTACGTCAAAGGATATATATTTTTAAAAATGTGAGTGGACACTGCTAAAGTGACATCTAAGAAGGTTTATACTGTCACCATGGAAAGT